TGGGCCTCTCTCCTCCCTGCCCCCTCCTCCCTTCCCTCGGGCTCCTCTGCGGCTCCGTGCGCGCACCGCCACCTCGCCGCCCCGCCCCCTGCGCTGGACCTCCAAGCCGTGGGCAGGCCGGAGCCGAGGAGCAAAGCTTCCGCCCTCGAGCCCCCGATACTGGGCCAGCCGAGCCCCCGAGACCCTCGACCATCCCCCGAGACCCTCGACGCCCCTGCCTCTGGCCCCTCCACCCCTCGACCCCTCGCGCGCCCTCGAGCCCTGGACCCCTCGAGCCCTCGAACGCCCTCGAACGCCCTCGCACGCCCTCGAGCGCCCTCGCACGCCCTCGAGCGCCCTCGCACGCCCTCGAGCGCCCTCGCACGCCCTCGAGCGCCCTCGCACGCCCTCGAGCGCCCTCGAAGCCCTCGAGCGCCCTCGACCGTCTGAGCCCCCGAGCCGCCGACACCAGCAGCCCGCGCGGCGGCGCCGAGCACTCCCGCGCTGGCGGCGACGCTGCCGGCGACCGCCCTCGTCCTCGAGCGTCGGACGTCGGGCGCTGGGCGCCGGGCGTCGGGCGCCGGACGTCGTCGTCGTCGTCGTCGTCGTCGTCGTCGTCGTCGTCGTCGTCGGACGTCGTCGTGTTGTCGTCGTCGTCGTCGTCGTCGTCGTCGTCGTCGTCGTCGTCGGACGTCGTCGTCGTCGTCGTCGTCGTCGTCGTCGTCGTCGTCGTCGTCGTCGGACGTCGTCGTCGTCGTCGTCGCCGAACGGTGGCGCCGAACGCCGCTGGAGGGGCTGCCCGCCGGCCGCCCGCAGCCTGCCGAGGAGCTGCCCGCTCTGCCGGGGCAGCCTCGCCGACCTCGCGGCCTCGGCGGCGGGCCCGGCGGCGTCGTCCTCGGCGGCGCGGCGGGGCCTCGCCGTGGACTCGGAGCCGCGCGCGGCGCGCGCGCGGGGCGGGCCGGCCGCCGCTCGGCCGCCGCCTGCCTCAACGGGCCGCTGGTCTGTGGCGGCCGCCGTCGCCGTCGGCGAGTCGTTCGTCGTCGTCGTCGTGGTCGTCGTCGTGTTCGTCGTCGTGTTCGTCGTCGTATTCGTCGTCGTTGTCGTCGTCGTGTTCGTCGTCGTCGTCGTCGTCGTCGTCGTCGTCGTCGTCGTCGTCGTCGTTGGTCATTTTTGTCGTCGTCTCTCGTCGTCGTCGGCGGCGGCCTCGTCGTCCGTCGTCGTCGTCGTCGTCGTCGTTGTCGTGGCAGAGCCTCGACTTGGACTCGGAGCCCTCCAGCGACGGCTCCCTCGGCGGCGGCGTCGTCGTCTACGCCGTCCGACGTCGACGTACGCCACTCCTTCCCATCCTCTTTCTGGTTGTCGTCGTCATCGTCGCCGTCGCCTCCTCCTTCCTTTCTCCATCCTGTCACCATTTACTCCAGCCCATTTCGGATGCATCAGACAGAAAGTGGGCCCCCACAACACTCACTCACACTCTCTACATCTCAACAGCTTCTGATGGGCGAGTGGGGGCCGTGGACCGCCAGGGTGTGGTGGTGCTGCTGACGTTCGTGACTACGCCATGCGACTTCAGCTGATTGGATACAATCAGTGCAGCCTTGTACAACCGAGGTGCCTCATGGAGGTTAGCGAGGCCATGGAGAGCGCTGCGTTCATCGCTATGACTGGCACGCGTCTGAGGGCTACTCCTGGTGCAGCTGTCTGGTCGCAGAATCAAGGCATACATAATTTTGTGGATTTTGGGTATGGACGTGGTCCTTTCACAAATCGCTGCGCAGGAGTGTCTATTGGTTTACATAAGAGCTGGCACGTTCAGGGCAAGATCTACCGCACTTCTGTCCCACCTGACGTTGCCCTCGGACGCGGCGGCCTTGTTCGCATCATTACGACGAATTCTGGCATCACCATCATTGCGCTCTATTTTCCGCCGACTGCGGTGGGCCGTGCTGCTGCGTCTTGGAAGAAGTCTATTGATGTACTACTGCAGCGGTTGGACTCTGAGCTGTCGGCTTTACCCTGTCGGTCTGCACCACTCAGACATACTGACTTGGATGATTCCTTTGCCTCTGAGGAGGGCTATCAGGGCCATGCAATTGGAGACTACACGCGACCTCGTATGGGCTATGCTGGACGCGCGTTTCGTAAGCTGCTCGACCGTCACATCTTGTATTGCCCTGACACGTTCTTTCGCACGGCGCCCACGTACTACAACGGCGACCTCTCCAGCTACATCCACCACACCGCCATCCCTGTTGGCCTGCGATCGCGTGTCTGTCGGTGCATGTCTGTGACGCGGCTTGGCCGACGCCTTCAAGTTGTTCGTGGCAAAGGGAAGCTGGTGGATCACGTGCCCATATATATTGCGGTGGATTTGGTTTTGCCGTCTATTTCACCTTGTCCGCGTGCTCGCTGGGACCAAGACCTACTGGCGATTGCACTTCCGACCCCTGGCGTGCGCGAGAGTTTCTTGAAGGAAGCGAATGAGGTGCTTCATTCTTCTCGGCATGGTATCCTCGGTTTCCTTGAGGCCCCTATGGTTGATGATGGTTCTAAATCTATCTCCTCTATGATATTTCCTGTTGCGGACAAGCATTTTGGCCGCCCACCTGGTGCGTGTGACCCTGAGATTGTGAGACTTCGACGAGAGACGCGTGCTCTGGTGGACCTGCGAGGCAAGTTACGTGCTGCGGGCGCGCCTGCTGCCCATCATGATTCCCAGGTGCGTGATCTTACTGCTCGGCTTACGGGGGGAGTCAGAAGATGGAGACGGGCGCTACGATCGACCTGGACGTCTGAACTTCAGGAGGCCTGGCGCGTCCGCAAGCTGGCTGCCGTTCAAGCGCTCTCGAGGAAGCTTGCTGGCACGTGCCTGGGCCCCAAGTGGCGGATCTACAGTGCGGTGCGGCGTCAGGCGCCCTCCATGATTGAGTTGGCTGAACAGCTTTCGTTACGTGGTGACCGTGGGGGGCTTGCTGCGGTGCCTATCAAGATTGATGAGTTCCTGAAGTTTCGCTCGTCCTTGCCCCGCCCCCCACGGGTATTTCTGATCGTGAAGCAGCGCTGGGCAGGGGGGCCGAGGATTTAGACAGGGGCATTGCTGTGCTTAAGCGTGCCTCCCGACGACTTGCTGTGCCTGGCTGGAGTCTTCCTAGTGAGACATGGTTGATGATGCTGGCCCATCATTACTACACGCGCAAGCGAAGAGGACCCGAAGGAGTTGGCTGTCAAGCCGAGACTCCCGATACTTCCGCTATCATGGAGACGTTCCTGGCCCTGGCTGGTGCAGGGAGAACGAGTGGTCGTTTTCCTTATGGTGCTGGATATTCTAATGCGTGGCAACCCCTAAGCGTGATGGGGGCACTCGCCCTGTTTATTTTTTCCTTCCTCTCTTTCCCTTCTCTTCTTCCGAGCCATTTGTGGGGGCATTCCTCGATCTGTCCCGCGCGGGCCTGCCCATCCTGCTGACCATGTTTGTGCGCCGCGTCGGCGCCGAGAGAATGCTATTCTTTCTGTCCAATGCACGGCGTGGCGACTACGCAACCAGAAATTCCGTTCGCGGCAGTGCTGGGCGACATGACGAAGGCCTGCGGCTGTTGCAATCACGACCGCATGAACGAAGTATTGCGAGAATATCTACCGTATTCTGATGCGTTGTTATTGGAGGATCGCCGCCGTACACCTGTACTGCATATCGGAGCTGATGATGGGGCATTCATATACTCCTTACCAGTGGCGCGCTGATGGGAGAGACTTCTGCTCCTGATGAATTTCGAATGTATTTTGTGGCGCCTGTCAACGCGTGGCGACGCCGATCGCCGCAACCTGTGCTTCAAGTATCGTGTCCGCTGGTGTCCATGACGATCGACGCGCCCCTCAACAAGGACGATGACGACCTCCACTATGTTTTCGTTCTTTCCTCAGGCCTGCTTGCTGAAGCAGTTGAAGCTGTGCAACTGGAGCGAGCTACCAGCGCCGCCGTGCTTGCGCAGTGCAGCTACAAGCAGTATTTGAGCAAGCAGGTGCTGGTGCCCAACCTGAAAGGGTACCGCGACAACCTGCGTGTTTATGGTTCTAATGTGGGAGGTGCTCGTGTACTTTCCTATGCTCGCTACCTCGGACCGTGCTTCTTGCCGGCTGGGACGTTTGGTCCACAGCTCCTGGTCTCAGAAAATGCTCGTGCTCGCGGGTTGTGTGCCTGCGGGGAGTTCTGGCCCAGCAGGGCACCTTGGAAAGTCAAAATATTATTGTTCATCAGTGTCGTCCAGGGCGCTCTCCTCTCGGGCCTCGCCCCCTTCCTGCTCTCGCCGCCCCAGTGGGCCGAGCTCGACGCCGCCCTCCTTCGGAGGACTCGGTCGATCACTCGGGGGGATGCGTGTGATTGGGCGGGCCCTCGCCCTAGATCGCGGTCGTCTCGACGTACGTGGTTGTGGTTAGATTTAACTCCGTGTCGGTATGATCTACTTATTCAGAGATTGGGTTGGCACCCAATTATGGTTAGATGGCCTGAGGGCCATGGTCAAGTTATTGCTGTGTTCTTTGGGCGGTTTGCATTCGAGAGTTCTGATGCGCTGAACGATGGTGTTATTTCTAACGAAGCCGACCCGTATGCTGCTAGATCATTAGTGACGTTAACTGTCTTCGGGCCCTCACGGACGTGGAGGACTGGGAGGATAGGTGGGGGCAGTCGGTGATTGCCCTGTTCGTGGATGATGATGCTCGCCGCGCGTTTTTGATCGCGGACGTTAGTGCGATTCGCAAGCTTTGGGAACTTGGTCGTGGGCCCTAGTGTGGATCTAGGTGCTTTTCCCGAGGAGGGGGAAGGGTTGGGGTGCAGCTGGGCTTCGGTTTCGATGTAAGCAACTTAGCGATGAGGGACGTGTGCAGTATGCGGGGCTGCGGTCACGACGCGTAAAGGACTCGCCATGCACAGCGCGTTCGCCAAAGGGGGTGCACGCGGCAGGACCTCGAATCTGTACGAGTGCATCTTTACGAGCCAGTGCCCGTGCTGCATGCAGAGTTTTGCTTTTCGTCGAAGTGTTAAGTCTCATATGAAAGCAGCTTATCGCACGGGCACGTGTAATGTGGGCGCTGCTTATGCCTGCCGTTCACCCTGCTGTTGCTGTACCACTTGCGCGTCGTATCTGTCGGAGCGATTCCTGTGCTAATTTGGTTCGGCTACACAGGCGCATCCGAGACGAACATCTCCCTCCACTCCCAGCTCCACGCACCTGCCCTGATGCAACCAGCGTTGGCGCTCAAGCGCGCCGCTCCTGAGGGGTCAGCGGCCTCGGCTGCAGCCGGCGCCCCGCCATTGCAAAAACCAATGGGTCACCTCCTGCCAAGGCCGCGGGCGCCATTCCTCAGTCGGACCGCCCCGAGAAGCAGCGCAAGGATCGCAGCGAGCCTCTGGGCTCGCTGGCGGGCTCGGGTTGGAATGAAAAGCAGAAGGCCATTATCAGCGCACTGGTCAAATCGACTCTGCGCAGCCAGGCAATGCGCGACCTCTGGTCGCTGGGAATCGACGCGTGGTTCGCGGGCGCGACGCTGCCGGAGGTGCTGGAGGCCCAGGCCGTAGGCGCCTACAGCGAGACCGTCGAGACAGCGGGCAAAGGCCACCCACGCGGGGGTGAGTTCGTCAGCGAGCTCTCAGAGCGTTCGACGGCGCTCGGCGCGACCAGCTTCAAGGCGCTCGAGAACTGGCACGAGAAGTACCTCTGCACCCGGCCCAGCGAGGACATATGGACCGTGGTCAGGCTCTTTCGGATCACCGAGTGTTACAACCAGGCCAAGGAGAAGGTCCATCTAGCGCTCATGGAGACGGACCGGTCCCAGTTCGCAGTGCAAGCCAGGAGAGCCCTCGATTGTTCCAGCGCGCGTTTGAGAGCGGCGTTCAACAAAGTGCTGGGCGAGGTCGGGGCCAAGCGCGCGATCGGGGAAGCTCCGCCAGGAGCCATGGAGGAGATGCTGCAAAACGTTCTTTCTGAGTCCTAACTTTGCCGCCCACTGACACACGTTTGGTGTACTTGTGTGGGTGCTATGAATTCAGTCTTGGCAGTGGGTGAATGGTGGTTGCTGACTTGCGTGTTGACTTGCTCTGTCTTTGTGTGATGTACTACATGATTGTGTATCCTCATCACTTGTCCAGCGTGTTCCTTGGCGTGTATGTCGGCTGGATGGAGCTGGGCACTGAGTGCGTCTGGAGCTGCTTCGGAGCCCTGTGCCTCGCTGGTGCCGATGAGTGCTTCGGCCACTCGTCCAGTGAGTTCCAGGCTTGAGGCTGCCGCTCGCTGCCGGTGTCTTCCTCTCCCCTGCCCTCTTCCCCCGTTGCCCATACCTTGCTCCTGTTTCCCTCGCCCGCGTGTGCACGCTTGAGCTCGCAGCGTACGGTTGTGAGAATTCACAAGTTTGGTCGCCCCCACACGTCGGTACGGCTGTCCCCAGAGTTCATGATGAGCTTGGTGGAACCTGCCTGGCCCCCGCTCTCCGATCCTGGATGTGAATCCAGCTTCGGCTGGCAGCAGTGAGAGAATGTGATGTGTTCTAGCAGGTTGCACTCCATAAGATGCGCGCGCTGTGCACGCGCGTCTTATTTGCATGAAGGCCGACCGTGGCGTTGCTCCGCACGCTTGCCAACGAGATCGTAGCACACTGCGCGCCTCCACGCCGCGTATTCCTATTACTATTTACTCCGGCGCGCACGCGTACTTAGCTCCTTCTCATCCTCCTCTCGTCTTCACCTAGCACCTCGTAGAACCGCACCCGAACACCCTTTAACTTCTCATCCTGCTACCCCCTTGGACCCCCCAGAAATATTCCCACACAAAAGCCTTTCTCCTCCTGTTCCTCCTCTTCCTCCTCCCACTTTCCCTCCCCTTTCTTGGGGAGGGCGAAGGGGATGATCATCATAAGGAAGCGAAAGTCGACGACGATCCTCCTTGCCATCTTCCTCCTCGTCATCCTCCCTCCCGTCCTTCTCGTCGTTGTCGTCCTCCCTCCCTCCCTTTCCTCTTCCTTATCCTCTCCCCCCCTTCTTATCCCACCCCTCCTCCTCCTCCTCCCCCCCTCCCCCCTTATCTCCCTCCTCCTCTTCGTCCTGCTCGTCGTCCTGGCTGTCTTCCGTGGCATCCTTCATCTCTCCTCCCGCTCGTCCACCTTTATGAGGGTTAGCTAGTGTTGGGTGGAGATCCAGCAGCTCGCTCTCGAACACATCATTGCATTCTGAGGCCCGTAACGCCATAGGGGCTTCCGATGGAGTCATCCATAGTAGAATTTCTTGCGGGGTGGCTTGTTTGCAAGCGACTGCCAATTTGTTTCTCCTCCACCTTCATGAGGGTGTCCCCCCCCGCCCCCGAGGAGTTGGAGAAGCGCGCCATGGCATGCCTCGGCAAGGAGGCGCGGCGGTGCTTGATCGCCGTTGCCACCACCGCCGTCGTCGCTGTCGCCATCGCGCGGCTGCCCTCGTAGTCGCCGTTGTCATTGTCGTCGCCACGGAGGAAGAGGAGGAGGAAGAGGAGGAGGAGG